CTTTAGGATATCTGGCAGTATAGTAATCATCTGAGTGTATGAGCTCCTGAATGGTTTCTTAAAGAAGGGGACTTCAATGAAGCTCAATGCTGTTACAGTTTTCTAAGTAGGCCTGTATACCTCTTTCAGCTTGGTCCAGCTAGTTATCATGTTTTATTGAGAATTATGATTACACAAGAGTCTTCATCCCAAAGACACATATTGTTAGATGCTATGGATTAAAATGAACAAACAGAACCCCCACAAACCAAACTAAAATGATAGTTTTCCACAGGGCAGCAGATGAGAGAGTGAGTATCTGTGACAGGTACAGAGTTACAGCCTGAAGTGATGCTTTTCTGTTTCTTGTTTTCCTTCTCACAAACTTGCATCTTACCGTTTCTGTCCTGTATATGAATGATGTTACTAGGATTTTAAGCTGAGAGGACAAGGTGTGTGTGATGTGCCAGTGCTGTGAATCAGCAGAGGGCACTATGTGCCTGTAAACCTATGTAACTGAATTAACATGCAGAGTGACATCTTGGTGAAGTTAGCATCAGTTATTCCAAGGTTTAGATGATTTAGATGAGGGAATATCTGTGCTCATTCAGTGATACAGGGAATGCACCGCACCATCTTGTTTTTTCCAAAGAAAGCTGACTATATTTGAGATGTTTATACTGTGCCATAAAAAATGCATGGATCGTTGGCACCAGGGGCTTCAATTCGCAGTACTGCATCCCAGTCAGGCGCTCCCTGGGTACGTAACTGTAGGGGAGCATGAAGTTGTCTTGTGTCTGCAAAAGCAGACTTTCTCCTGAGATCCCACTCTGCATTGAGATACTGATGATCTCCTTGCAGGGCATGTCCTTTCTCAGCCAACCCTTTGTTCACTCTCACCCTCCCAGGAGAAAGTGTGTGGTATCCGATCCCTATGCCCTCCTAGCTGCTGGGGCTCATATTCAAGGGGCTGCTGATATCCAGTTGCCATGCTGTGCTGGTTTTCCCCTATAATAACCCATGACTTATATCAGCTATTTGACCTGAAACAGAGCTGGTGGAGACAGAAAGCTTATTTTTATACTACTTATTACATGGGTGTAGTGTAATTAAGCCAAACGTTGGTGACGTGACATGGATGAGAAAATCTATTGGGAATTGGAATATTTGTGACAAACACTGGATTTCTCATTTCCCTGTTTGTTTGTTCGTTCCTGAGACAGCTGGGTTGCATGAAATTTCCTCCCTATAGTTTCAGCTTCTTCACTATGCTTTAGCCCATACTGCAGCAACAGCCTTTGTAAGCAGCAGGTGACCCATACAATAACAGGTAGACCTCCCGACTGCTGATGCTGGTGTTCTGCTTTTGGCACCATTGCAAGTGGCATCATGAAACAGTTTCTAAAAAATTTAATACAGGTGTATGCCTGTATTAAATACCACTAATCCCTAAAAAAAAAAAATGCTTTTGAGCATTATAGTACTGATGTTGAAGTATGTTAAATGATCAGAAGGGGTGGTTATTCTTGCTGGTTTTATACTGCTCTGATTTAGGTATAAAAAATATTTGAAAACGAAAGGGTTTTGTGCATCTTGGGGCATATTTTTCAGCTGTGTCTTGTTTTTCTTTAGAGATTATCCAGCACCAGGAGGTATGGAGAATGCTGTTCCCAGCAATATGATAGAAATAAGCACATTTTGCCTAAATATCAATAAGATTGTTGTGTTTGTAAAAGTGCAAATTCATCAGAAGTAGAGCTGAAATGTTTCAGTTCGTTTGGAAACTACTGCAAACAAGGCGTAATCTTTCTTTGGTGCTGCTATTTTTGGTTTTATGTAGAGCCTAGTCTCGCAATTTCTTAAAGTTCTGATTGACAGCTCCTGGAGTTTTGTCTGTGTAGGAAATGAGGATCAGGCCTTAGGTAATGTCATAGGGGCTCTTGAAAGTAACTTTCACAGGAGACTCCCTAACTTTGATGGTTGTTTCTATTTTTCCAGGTTGAAGTTTCATTTTGTGCTTTATGAGACTTGTCACCTCAGATTTCTGCACAAGAGACATACCCAAGATTTCCTTTCAGCAGTTCAAATGCAGTGAAATAGAAGAATTCTAAAACAAAGATACGTTTTCTGTGTCTCTTAGCCGTGCACTCATGAGGAAGCACCACAGGGAATTCATAAGACTTGAGTTAACTCAGAGGGGTTAACTCAGTTAGGATTGCCTCTGGCAGAGCAGGAAGCTCAGAACAAAATCAATAATTGGAATAACCCATTCTGATGCTGTCCTGGTTTTCTTGAGCACAGCAGTATATGTTTCATAAATCTAAATCTGGGAAATGCTAGGTACTTAAAACCAAACTGATATGCTCTGTCTTTGAAACACCTACACGGTGTTTACGCTAGTGAAGGGTGGCTCCAGTGATCAGAAGAAGGCATGGTAAACACTGACTTCTTGCTGCCGTAAGAGTTAGTTATAGAATTTTAATGTGCCCAAAAAGGCTAAAAGGTAATTAGCAGCATGGTTCAGATGTTACTAGCTGGGACAGGAAGGTACTCGGTCTGAGAGCTTTTGCTCTTCTTTCAGAGCCCTTTGGCAGCAGAGTATGGAGTGCCCTAGTTCAAACTAATTTCATGTTAAAGAGATTCCATAGTAGTACCCAGATGTCCATGTCTGGACCAAATGCTTCTGATGAAACAAACTCATTGAGTTCATCTCCATCTACAGGGATATGTTTTCCTGATTCCCATTTTAATGTATTTTCATATGGGTGCGCACAAAAGCTGTGGAATTGTGCTTTTGTTCCCTGCCGAATAAAAAAAAACCAACCAAACAAACACAAAAACCAAAACAAAACACCAACAAAAAACCCAAACAAACAAAAAAATCCACCCAAACAAAAACCAAAACCAACCACCACCCTCCATTTTTCTGGGGTATTTGTGAACATGTGCTTTAATGTCCATTCTTAAATTGGAAATGCTATGCTTTCAACCTTGGTGCTTCTGGCTCGTAAAGTGACTGGAGATCTACTCTGGCTATGACAGTACTTATGATTGAAAACTTTTTAAACTTTGTTTTGGCATTTTACAAACTGTAATCTTTCCTCAAAAACACTGTGGAATGAAATTGCTGTTTTGCAGCTACTTCCTCATATGTCCGTGTACCAAAGAATTAAATCCTTTCTTCCCACACTTCGCTTTCTTCCTAACTTTCATCATGTTGGTGTTTCTGACAAGGATTCCATTACAGTCCTGTGACTGTACAAGGACTAAGTGGAAAAAAAAAAATGGTTTCTTCTTCACTTTCTCTAACCTGTTGTGGTTCTTCTGTAAACTAACTTTCTCTTATTCTTAACTTAAGATTGATTTTTTTGCCTTACTGCTTTCTGAGTATCTCTGTCTCTGAATTAAAGTTCTCAAAGTTATTAGCCAACATTTTTCAAGGTTATATCTTTGTTGTTTCCAAATCCCTTTTTGCCCTTTTCTGCCTTTTCTTGTGCTTGCAAACACCTGCAGATCTGAATAATGTGCTCTCTGTCCCTTATTTCACATTATTAGTAAGAGATTAAATCAAATCAAGCCTGGTGCTTTCTGTAAGTGGTCTTTGGATACTTCTCCTCAACAAGACACAGTGTTGTTGTTATTGTTACCTGGTTCTAAATATTAAATCTTGATGCTGTTTGTTTTGAAGCCAGTGTAAATATTTTTTAGTGATGGATTTGTGTGGCACCGCATCAAATATCTATTAAAAGTTAGTACACAAGCTGATGCATTGCCCACTTAAATACCTAATTTAATATCAGTTTAGAAAAATCAGCTGTGGCACACAATTTGGCCTTTATTGTTTATCTATTTTATGGAGTCTAGAATGCATTGTGGAAAAAAAAAACAAACGAGTAACCACATAATGCTAATGAGCATTTCTTGTGAATTTTTAAAGCTGTTATGCTTCCATCCATATAGTCAGCCAGGGAAAATAAAATAGCTCTACAAATTACCTGTTGTCTTCCACTCTTAATTAAGCTAGACTTTCTGAATATCTAGTAGTGGATATATAGATATATAAAATCTAACTATTAAATATATAGTGGTGTAATTAGGACATTCGTATTGGCCACACTATCACTTCCTGGCATTTATGGCCAGAGGTGTGGGATTGGAAGAATGCATCATTATTAGTAAATGCTGTGTTTTCTGTAAGGCTGGGGGGTTTTAGGATAGCTGAAACGTTTTGGTTTTTTGTTTTATTTGTTTTTTTTTTTCCAGGAACGTCACTGAGCTATGATTTTTAGTGTATAATAAAGCTCACCGCAGCTGCTTTTGACTGATTTTGAAAGAAAAAAACAACAAACAAAACACTAAATACAACTAACAGTTCAGTTTTTTCATGAACATTTTGGAGAAAAAAATGTAACTCGCTTCCTTTTTTTCAGACAAATAGCTGATTTTATCTCAGTTGAGCAGTGCTGTTCCATCTCATTTTTTTTGGTCTGATCTTAGTGACTCTATTGCAGGGTATTAGTTTTGTTGCCCAGAAGTGCCCGATTTAAAGCTTTGAATATACAAGGCAGTATCAGTATGACACACAACTCACTTAATTCAACTGCGTTATCACACTTAAGTTGCATAAGCAGAATAACAGGATCACAGAACGGCTGAGGGGTTGGACAGGACCTTTGGAGGTCATCTTGTTCAACCCCCCTGCTTGAGCAGGGCCACCTAGAGCCAATTGCCCAGGACCATGTCCAGACAGCTTTTGAATATCTCCGGGGATGGAGATTTCACAACCTCTGCGGGCAATCTGTGCCACTGCTCAGTCACCCTCACGGTAAAAAAGTGTTTCTGTTTGTGCCCACTGCCTCTTGTTCTGCATGCACACAGACACCATCTGTCAGTAGGTGTTACACGTATTGATTAAATCTTTCTTCCATTCTAACCATTTGGTGCAGCTTCCTGCATGTAGAAGCCATGATTGGTGTCATATTTAGTTTTTATGATGTTTTTGTCTGGTTTTCATCTTGTAGGGTAAGTCTTACCCCTTTAAAGGTTCATTCCCTCCTATGTGGAATCCGTTGGCCTACCTGGACTACAACAACCTATGGAGGACCATGGATGAAATGGGAAAGGAGGTATGGCATAAGAAATTGCAGCTCACTGGCTCAGCTCAGCTTTGTCTCCATGAAGGGCAGAGTGAAGATGGGACTAGGATGCAGATAGACAAAGCTGCTCTAGCTTGAACAAACGTGGTGCTGGCAAGAGCAGCATCATGCCATGCATTTTGGTATACACTGGTGGTCAGAGCACAGGTCTAAGTGGCAGCCTGATAAGCTCTTCTGAAGGGCATGCTGCTGAGGCTCTCTGCAGTCATACCTTTGTTTTTCTGGATATATGAACACTAGGATTTATGCATGTGACTTTTAGCACTTTGCCTGATGATTAAGTAATATTTTAAGAGGCTTGTAGACCTCAAACGTATGCCCTTCTCCACACTCAAATTCAACTTGCCCATTTTAGTTTGTCGCCAGTACTGTATGCTTTCTATTGACCAAGTGTCCTGTCCCACTCAGTGGGTTTTGGGGTAGGTGGATCTTTTGTATCGTCTTTTTTAAAGGGGGTTTTCCTCTGAACAGCAGAGACCCTTTGCTCGGCAAAGGTAGCGAGTTAATAACCCTCTTTGGTCAGTAGATTGGCAGCAGTAACACACTTTAATAGTAATGTTTCACAGATCAGATAAATGTATGGCTTTCCTTAATTCTATCTAATAATTTGGAGAGAGAAGAAAAGAAACAAAAAAGTAAAAGAGAAAGGAAGAGATAAAGAGCTATGACTACTCCTGGGGTCTAGCGAGGTCTCGCAGGTCCGGTCTGATCTTTGGTTCTTCGGTGGTGGGTGTGGACCTGTGTCTTCATTATTGGTATTTTTATTTTCCCTTTCTATTAATATTCATGAGTTCTATTCATATTATCCCCTCCTCTTCTCACTTTTCACACTAATTAGGACACAGGTGCAGTATACAATATTTTGGGGGGTCCAAAGGGGTTCTGTCCAGTATAGATAAGGGATGGACCTCCCCAAGTCTGATGTACACCTGTAGATAAGGGAGTGGGCCTCCCCAAGTTCAGAAGCACCCCTCTTCTGCGGGGTTTGTCCGCTTGGATAGGGGAGGTTGGGTAGCTTGCTCCAAACGAAGCCTCCCTTTATTGATCGCCCCAACTAAAGTCTCTGAAGAACACCTCTCCACCCTCCTATGTGCGAGGAGGGAGCACTGCTTCAGCGTCTTATCCCCGAGGAGGGAGCACTGCTCCACCTTCGCGAGGCTTGTTCCCTCCCTGGAGCAGGCTGTAGTGCGAAGCAGGCTGTTTTTAGGGCTAATATACAAAACTTGCCCTGTAAAACAGGTTTGTTCAAGACACATACATAAAATCTGCAAAACAGGTTGTTTAAGGCAAGAAAAATCCGACTGTCCTTCACACTGAGCTACGAGACTTTGAGAAGAGGTTGCTGTTCCTTTCATAGATGAATGGGAGAGTTACAGAATAACTCAGAGACATTCACCAGCACTGTACTTGCCTTTCTAGGCAAAATTCTTAATTCTAAAATTATTCTCTATTCTTCAATCTAAAAAAAAAAAAAAATAATAATCTTAAAACAAGCAAACAACAAAAGTCCTGAAAGCATCCTCTGTTAAATTCACTGTATTACCTGCCAGGAATTTGCAGGCTGAATTACCATGTAAAGATGAGTTTGTTTGTGTTCGTTGTCTCTTTCTTATGCCACTCATTCATTTGCTGACTAATGCTCTTTCATGTCTCCCTAGATTCCCAATGAAGCCCCATGGAAAGCTCCACATGCAGAAGAATGGGACAAAATGACTATGCAAGATTTCATAGATAAAATTTGCTGGACAAAGTAAGAAAATATTTAATACAAAATTTGGAGCTCTACAGTACATAAGCTATTATATAAGTGTTACTGCCTTGCAAACAGATATAACTACCGCTAGAATACAGCCTTTTCAAAGAAATGGGCTGAGAAAATCTTGTGGTAATGGACCACAACACCTGTCAGCACACACAGTAGATTCTGTTATGTTTCCGTAACTCTTTAGACTAAAGTAAAGGTAAAAGGAAAATGTATTTGGGGAGGGTTAGTTCTGAAAAGATGGGTAGTACCTTCATCTGTTATGTGCACTTTCCCTGTCTTTACTGTGTGTTTTAACATTTAAGAGAAAAATGCTCTGGCTACAGTAGGTTTTTGAATCAAACTTTTGATGGAACAACACACATTTATTCTGTACTAGACCATCTGATTTTATTAAAGTACTAAGTCTTGGAATAGCACTAAATCACTTTAACACCCATCGTTCTATTGTTTAAGTGCTGCACTATATGCCACCCAGGGAAACTGAAAATGCTTCCTTTTTTTGTGTGTATATCAAAGCTATTTTTCTTTACTTGCCATTCAACAGCAGTTTGATTGGTTTTCTTGGCACTGAAGAAAAAAACAACCACATTAATTCTGCCTTGCTGTAGAGCAGATTGATTTCTCCAGCAACCTCTTCAGAATTGCTAAGCATCTGACACACGGCTGCGGGGAGCGTGCACGAGCTTGGTGTGGAAGCCTGCTAGCACCCACTCAAGCTGACATTGTCATCAACAGGGGTGTTTTTCGGCTTCAGCCAGCCTCTGGAGAGCAACGTGATCATTGTTAATGGATAGTAGGCTCTTGTCCAAACACGTTTAATCTTCTGGTTGTTTTGCTTTTAATAAGTGTGACAATTGCACAAAAGCATATAGAAAGCCTTTCTCATTCGTATCGCAGTCCATGTTCCATGAAACCAAATAGAAATGTATGCTGGTGATTCTGCTGACCATCTGAACCTCTGATTTGGTAAGGAACTATACAAGTTAGCAAAACGCCACGCATCGGCAGTCATTCGATATCCAATAGCTCATGTGACTGCAGTCGTATTTTTTCAAACTCTGATGGAATAAGACTTGACATTTTACCTGCATATTGGCTTAACTGTCAGCCTGCCTTAATTCCAAGATGATTTTCAGAGTTTATATGTGCATCTCAGCTTGATTTGCCCAGTTTGTTCAAGATTTAGGTAACATGCCGTAGAAACTTCCCACCCTGGAAGGTAATGATCCAGAAGGGTAATCTTCTACTATTTCCTCTCATCTAACAGACTGTGCAGGTTTGCTTTTGGCTACAGTTGCATGCTGGAAATAACCTGAGTGCTTTTGGTTGAAATCATACTGCCATTTCTAGGTAAAACACCAGGAGAAACAGGGGAACTGAAATGCTGAAAAGCAATGGGAGAAGGCAACAGAAACTAGGAGAATGTAATAGCTTCTAATAGGTATTAATCCGTCTAATAGCTTCTGCTTATGAAATATTAATAAATACATATACTAATTGTCCTATGAGATGAAATGTCTTTCAGAGTTGATAATATTTTACAGTATGTGTTTATACAGACAGAAATTGATAAATATTTTCTGTAATATTTTTGGCTGTCAAGAACAAAGCCAGAATGCACCTGTATTTCAGCAAACGGATCAGCTTTTTATTTCAGAAGGACTTTGCATTTTTAGAAAGGACAGAAGTTGCGTTTTTATTACATAGATATATAGCTGTTTGAAACAGTATATTTGAGTTATGCTTTTTTTCTTTTTTGGAAAGTTCAAAGACTGAAAAAAGAAAGAAGCAACTAAAAGTGGATTCTGTACTGGCTTTGGAAGTTATTGACTGCCTGATGCCTGACATATATGAAGATCTGTAGAGTCTCAGTCCCTGTCAATCACAACGCAGTTAAGCTGAACATCTCTTGGTCCTGTGCATGTCCCTTTAAACTCCTTCTCAGAGTGAGGGCAGAGGAAGTATTTACTTCTAACAGGAGGAGTGTTTTCCTAAGCCTTAATTAACTCTGTCTTAATGCACCCCAAATCTTAGATAGTAATTTTCAGTAGACGTCTTTTGAAAACTTATTTCCAAAAATTTAAACAGTAATTTTCAGTAGAGCTGTTACAAAAGCAGCATCTGGAAGACATGAATTAGTGATCGTTTTTCAGGCACAGCCACTTTTCCTTTTCTGCGGTCATCACCACTGGCTACCAGACCACTGTTTAAAATACTGAGTTTGAGCAACCGAAAGTATCCTTTCCCTCTTCTTGCCAGACTTTTGTATGAATGTGTGTATGCTGTCTCTTCATTTACGGTTTCCTACTTAGATTTCTTTTGCTGTTATGTTCCAGCTGCAGCTCACTCCCTGAACACAGCAGAGGAGCAGGCAGTGAGGAGATGTTGACTAATCCAGAGAGCTTAGATAATTAATTTAGACAAGATCTTTAACTTCTTATGTTTGAATAATCTCTATCCTGTGTGCTTGAGGGAGGCCTTCAGCAGGTGCAAACAGAGCTCCAGATCTTGTGTGTAACCCAGGAACCATGGGAGGATGTGGTGGTTTTGGAGTCCAGTGAAGACAGGAGGGCTTGCTTCCCTTAATCCTGAGTCTAGGATGAAAGGCTGACTTTGCATTAGTAGCATAAAGTGACATAAGCTTTCATAGACTTTAGTGTCTCCTGGAGCCCTAATTTGGCTGGAGTACAGCAGTACTTGATTAACATTTTTTTTGCAGGGTTACTTGCAAAATGTTGCATAGAAGGAACTGGTAGTTTCCTACTTCAACTGAAATTAAGGAATCCTTTGCTTGCAGTGAAAGAAGTAGTTGCCAAAAACAGTCTCTCCCCTACTGAAGAACACTCTTGTCATCCTTTAGTCTTTAAATTAACTCACTTTTTTTTTTCTTTGTTGCAGTGCTGCCAAGCGTTTTGCAACTCTGTTTGTGAATGTGGATGTCACTTCTGAACCCCATGAGGTCTCTGCCCTTTGGTTTTTGTGGTATGTGAAGCAGTGTGGGGGGACAGCAAGGATATTCTCAACGTCCAACGGAGGACAGGTACTGTCAGCCATCACCTTGCGTGGCTTGTGACAGGCCCTTCGTTCTTTTGCTTGTTTATTTTGGTTCAGAGGGCCAACTGAGATGTCTGTGACTAAGCTAGTAGCACATTGTTAACTATTTCTATTCAATAACACATTAATCTGGATCTTGTAAAAGTAGTGTTGAAGGCTGTTCCTATGCTGAAGGCATTGACCCAGAGATTAGGTAGATTTGTATCTGTTCCTGACTCTGGCTTCCTTTTGGGCTCTGGTCAGAACATGTACTTTGCTTATCCACATTGAAAAAAGAAAGTTTTGTTTATGCTTGTTTCTGTCACGAGGCTGAAGCAAGCCTTTCCACTTCAGAAGCACTTAATGGAGACGGCAATGCTAGCTGCACGAGTGTGTGGAGTGCTCCAAATTAATACTGAAAATGTAGCCTAAAGCTGGATTCCTAAAGATGCAAGCTCTCAAGGCTTAAAACTGTTAAGATTTTAAAATCAGTCTGAAGAAAATGAACACCCTTGCTTAAATATGATACTGCTCTGAAATGTTTGAAATCTGGTACATTATTGCTGCTTCTGCATTTCAAGAAAGTAAAGATTCTGTTAATGGTCTTCCTCTTGAGAAATGCAAATTTTACCAATTGTATTAGAAATAATTATATTTTTAGAAATGCAAATTATTTAATCATAAATAACTAAAAATACAGATACATTAAAACATGTTAAGATGCATAAGTATGCATAGATAAGCAGTAATTGTAGATAATTTAACTGTAAATATGTTGAATAAAGTATTATTTGAATTCTATATTATGTTAGAGGTGATTTGAGTTGGTTTATGTGCTGTCACATTAGATTATATGCTGCAGGAGACACTTTTGATGCGAGCTATGTCACTTCTTATACCTCGTTACTTATTATGAGGATCAGGGTTCCTACTTCTGATACACAGACCTCTGTGGGGATAAGAATGAACTAAAAGAGAGCTTTAAAAGTTTAAGTGCTTTTCAGAAGTCTTGCTGATTCACACAAGTCTGTGGAATCCGTTTGGAGGCCACGTGAGAAGGGATTTTCTTGTGAGGTTACTGAAGTGGTCAAATATGGGAAGTATTTGAGGAGCTCACTGAAAGAGAAAGTAATGTGGATGTGTTTTGCAGGAGGGACTGCCAAACTTCCCAAAAAATGTTTTGTTAACAACAGAAGAATGGGGTTTGTTTTGAATGCCAAGCAAAATGTTTGTCACGATACACGGTTTACAAGCACCGCTCTGCTGAGTCTGCTTTGCCAAGTTGTTTTCTGTTTCAGGAGAGGAAGTTTGTTGGGGGCTCTGGCCAGATCAGTGAGAAAATAATGGAGCACCTGGGAGGCCGGGTGAAGCTGAGGAAGCCAGTCATCCGCATCGACCAGTCGGGTGAAAGTGTCATAGTGGAAACTTTAGATCATGAATTATATGAGGTAACAAATCCTCTAATGTTTAAGCAACTATTTGTGCTGGGATGGCTAGAAAACCTTTAGCTTTTCTTTTTTGACTTCTCCAAATTTCTGTACAAAAATGTAGCAGAGATTTAAGTAACTATGACAGAAAGTCACACTTTCTGATTGTCCCAAAGTAATAGCAGTGATAGAGCTTTAAAGTGATGCCTGAAAAGCAAAGTGTATATTCAAACTCTTTCTTTGCTAGCATCGTTTGTGTTCAGTTACCTTCCAAATGAAAGGATAATTGTAAGGTGAACACAAAAATGTAATTTAGTAATAAACTTTCTGTGAAAAACATTGCAGCCTTTGCTTCCAAGTTGTAACAGCAGAGCCCAGATGGCTGGGAGACCAATGGACTCTTATAACATAGCACTTTTTTTTTTTAAGCGCTGGGGAAAGAGCAGCTGCCCATCATTCGAACAGATGGCTGTTTATATAATGCTTGTTTGTTGTTTAACAAGCAGGATTTTGTGAGGGTTCAGTTTAGCAATTCTTATGCTAAATGCCAAAATTGCTTCAGAAGATACACCCTGCAGCCTCCCCAGATGTCTGCCAAGAAGATTAGAGCAATACACTTAGGATGAAGTAGTGGAGAATGTATTTGGCTTACGTATAATTTCTTTTCCAGGGCAAATATGTGATCAGTGCCATTCCCCCAGCTCTTGGTTTGAAGATTCATTTCAACCCACCTTTGCCCCCGATGAGAAACCAGCTCATCCACCGAATCCCCATGGGCTCAGTCATCAAGTGCATTGTATACTATAAGGAAACTTTCTGGAGGAAGAAGGGTATTTTGTTTTAATTGAAAGGAATAGTAGTGACAGAGAGAGGGGAGCGGGTACATGGTAACAGAGTAGGTTTTGTGTTTGGAGGATGCTGTACCTTAGAAGGAGAATTCATACACTTCTATGCCATTTTTGCCTTCCCCTGTCTGAGAAACTTGAGAGATCAGTTGGGAAGAGAGCGTGGTTCGGGAACAAAAAGAAAGAGGTAGGCGTGAAGGGAGAACTCATGCCTGTTGCTTATTGCCTTGGTTGTTCTTTGTTGTCCTCTCATTTTCCTTCAGTGGCACCTGGATATGAGATGAGTCTCTCCTACTTGTACACTAATATAAAGGTACAAGTGATATGTGATGGAAAGAGTTTTTATCCCATCAGTTAGCCTGCGGAACTTCGGCCTTCTGGATGCACTGGGCAGACTTAATTGAAGGTGTCTTCACATAGACATCCCCAGCTGGGCTAGTCATCCTGGACTTCCTTTACATGCTGAATGTTTCCATCATGATTCCTCAGCTCTCTCTTAGAACTTACCGGATCTAAGACCAACTGCAATGTAATAACACCCATTTCTCATCACTGGTTATAATGCGTCCACATCTGTGTTTTGTCTACAGATGTCATCAACCCTTCATCTTTGTGAATGATTTTAAGAGTTCTGGATCCTGGTATATTCTGGCTGTTAGGTTTGGGATGGGTTGGCAAGAGGTGACTCCCATTTCCTGATAGAACCCGTAGTTTGCGTACTGTGCTTTGCTAACAGCATTGTTCTTCTTTTAAGAGCAATGTATTTTCTTCAAACCATTCTTTTAAGAATAATTGTGTTTTCAAAATGATGTACGAATATCTCCTTTTATGCCTGACAAAAATGCCATATATGGAAACAGCTTTGGTAGAGGCACTTGAACATCTTCCATATCTGAGAGCAATCTGTTTCTGTGCAATTAATAATTGCCTTCCTAACTGGGTTGCAGAATAATTTATTTTTCTATAATTAATTCAACAATAGGACATTCCTTGTCTTTCTGTTTTAAAGATACTCGAAAAGGGTTGTTAGTTGTCAGTACATCTCAAACATAAACTTTCTCTTCTAGAGAGGATCTAGCAGTTCTCTGACTTGAGGCAGCAATACTACACTGCCTTGCAGATCAGCAAGGGACCTGGGTGCTAATGTTTGTCACATGGTGGGGGTTGCTTTATTTGTGGTTTTTTGATCTCCTTTCCTTTGTTTTCATACTTCCCTGTATTAGAATCATAGAATCAAAAAATGATAGAGACTGGGAGGGACCTCTGGATATCACCTAGTCCCATGCCTTGCTCAAAGCAAAGTGGATTTAGATCAGGTGGTTCAAGGCTTTTTCCAGTCAAATTCTGAGTATTTCACAACTTGGAAGTTTGTTCCTGCATTTGAATACATGGATCCTGACTTCTTTTCCACCATGTGCTTAACAGGGTATTGTGGTACCATGATCATTGAAGATGAGGATGCTGCAATTGGTTTAACACTTGATGATACTAAGCCTGATGGCAGCTTTCCTGCCATAATAGGGTAAGAGACAAAGAAAGTGTCTAGTTAATATCTTTTTATTTTTGTTTTAGAGGCAACAATTGAAATGGAAAACCTGCCACTTTTAAAGGGAAATACTTTAAAATAGTGCTTTAAAACTAAAAAACTCAAAAGGCTTGAGTTTCTCAGTGTGTGGTGAATATGTTCTATGATTTTTTTCATTCAAAAAATGTTCTCTCTGTTTTAATTGCTAATTTAAAAACATTGAATTCTGTTTTTCTTCTTTTTCTCACTATCATCCTTTGCCTCTTTGTGTGGCAAGGTACAAAATTGGAGAATAGGAAAGGAAGGAGAAAAGGGGGTGATTGTAAAAATGTAAAGTTTTCTCCAAATATCTTTGTGTCCCCCAAATCTCCCAGTTCTTTAAATGAAAATTTGTTTTCTGGAATTATATTTTGTTTTGTTCTGCTTTTTAAACAGCCAGAGAGTATGATCATTTATTGAAAGTTTATTAAACAGTAATTTCCAGTTCAATCTCGGGCTTCACCTCTTGTTGCTGTATGTCTGCACCCACTGCTGTATAAAATTAAGGTTATTGGGAAACAGCTCATACAAATACTCTAACCTGAATCTTAGAGTGTCTCTTTCCACAGTAAGTTGTGCAAGCAGCAGGCAGAGCATATAACGTTATGCAGAGGGATGAAATGGGTATTTTGGATAGAGACATAAAAACAAATACTATAAGTCACTGCATCCCATCATAAGGTATTGTCATTTTAAATAATGCAGGGAATGTAGTAACATAATGGAAGTAATGTTTGTGGTCTTCCTACAGCTTCATTCTTGCTCGGAAGTGCAGAAGACTGACAGGTCTCACAAAAGAAGAAAGGTAAGTACAAACACGGGAGGTCTGCATGGAATCTGAGTCAAAATTTTGTTATAAATGACCAGAGCAGGAAAAAAATGCCCTGATCTGAAGGAAGTTGAATGTAACCTTGTGACAGTAGGCAAACATGCCACTTTAAGGAAGAAGAGATCTTAACTTGCTTTTGGATGAAGGGCCCACAGAATTCGCACAAACCAGGAGAAGATGTGATAGCCCCTGCCCTTTGGAAGCTTTCTGGTCCTTGTTCTCATTTTCCAGCAGGGCTACTTTGCTTATGTGACTAGCGAAAGGAACTACTCTAAGCTGCTGAATATGAAAGTAGTGTAGATACTCTACTGCCCTCACTGGAAGGGGTCCACTGCCAGCCTCATCCCACCCACTGCTTCCTGCAAGTGCACTGAGCTCTTTGAAAGCTTGTCAGAAGGGACAGGTTTGGCCACTGTGCTTGATTATTTTTTTTTTTTTCTAATCACCTGACAGGAGGGTCCTTTCAGTGTCTGTAACTTAGTGCAACCTTGAGGCTGTTGTAGCTGCCATGAATGAGACCTTATCATCATGAAGGGGTCAAAAAGCTGCCTCCAGCTCTCCACCCTCAGTTATGGGGAAAAAAAATGCCCTTCAGACACAGATAAAGAGCTTTTTTACTGTCTTCTGGAAACAAATCTCTCCATACACTAGTGCTCATTGGTTTATTACTGAAATAGAATTTACAAAATAATGGGTTTTTTCAATCACAGTGATTCACAGTATCTGATCAAATTAAAGCTACAAGTAGAGAATGTGGATATAAGGAGAGCCTTGTTCTGACATGAAGAAAATACATTTGTTTTTAAAACATGCCACAAGGAATACTGTGTCCAAGTAAACATCGTTACAGTAATAGCTAGTCCTAACTAGAGAAGATATAGTCATCTCAGATTAGTTTTGCAGGTAGTAGTCTAACAGTCTGTGGATTATGGGTCTAAATGGGGCTGTTAATGTCCCAGTCTTTTCAAATGACAGCCTGTTATCACAGAGCACTTTTAATTTTATTAGGGATGGACAAGGCAGCCTTTTCCTCAGCACTCAGGCTTTGAGATGGACCTCCAGCAGGTGATTGACGATATAGTAGTGTAGGTATCCTGAAATCAAGTGTGCCCAGCTTTTTAAGCCATTGTAAACACTAAATGCTGTCTTATGCTGTGTGTTGGTACAATAGACATAACTGAGCATTTACAGTATTTGAGAACATCTCTTTCTGTGAAATGAAGCGCTGTCCTGGCTGTTTGCAAGGTACCATGAAGGAAAGGTTGCTTTCCTGTGGGCATTAAAAGCATTAGCACAATTATCTGACTCTGCTGCTGCCTACAGCCGAGTCTTAAACAAAAGGGTTTTGAACTCTTTGTGTTTTGAGAAATAAACCTTAGACTAAGGAGGACTTTGTTTTGGTAAAGAATGGTTATGAAATATGCTTGGGTTGGTACCTGATAAATGTGCCGTGGTGTGGGGGGTGTGTCTCTCTGGCTCCTGCAGTCCTGGCCACAGCCAGCCAAGGCAGAAACCTACTGGGCTGCACTGCAGCTCCTCTCCTGCACGTGAGCACAAGTCTCCTTCCAGTGGAAATCGGAGTCCAAGAGAAGCCAGAGTGTGAACCTGGACCTTCTCCCAGTGTATGCTCAGGGTGCAGCCAGTTTGTGTTGTTCAGATGGGGGCTATGGTGTTTGCAGGGAGGGTTCTCTTCTGAGGACAGGCTTCTTGTGGCACCCTACAGAGGATGCATCTTGCTGAGATGCTGTGCTCGCCTGTCAGCACAAGCTGGGCTCTTCCTTTATCATGTTGATGACAGGGTAAGGTTTTTGGTAATCCTTGGATATGAAGAGTAGAATGTAGAGTTCCGTGGCAGCTATCCTAAATTATGGCTGGGAACAGCGGTTTGTGGGAGGGCATGTAAACCGTTTTACAGCCTAAGCCAGATTGAAGGGAGTAAAACTTGCTACTGCCTTCCAGCTGGTCTTCCCAGGCCGGGTGCCAGTGAGTAATTATGGTGGTTAGATTGTACCCTACCTTTCACAGCTGTGCAACGAAGGTGACAGCATCACACACTGCTTTGGAATAAGAGAGCACAGAAAAGAGTTGAGTGTCTGCTTGTGCGCTTCTTCCTCACTGGGCACAGTGTAACTCTCAATAGGATCCTACCTAGGTAGCTCCAGGCAAAACTTTCCTCTTATGTAGTGCTGGGGGAAATTTCACAGCTGAGTCCAAAGCCAAGAAATAAAGATTTTACTGACTGCATATTCCATAAGCTCTGTGCTAGCATTAACCATAAATCCAAACAGAAGTATTTATTTAAACTGTTTAGGACAAAAAGTGCAGATGTTGCAGAGACAAGAGCATCTGCAAGGATAGCTCTTATTAGGGAGAATGTCCTCAGTGATAGATTACTGTTGGCATAATTCAATCCTTTAGAAACTGCTTTTCTGTGTCTTTTTTTTTCCCCTGTCAAATAATACCTTATTATTGATGAATAATTCCTTCCAAGGTTGAAAATTCTTAAGAATCTGAAGCTGCCTTTGACCTGAAGCTTAATATTTTCTTTTGCACGGTTATCGTAAACTAATTTTATCTGTATTTGCAATGTAGTCAGCAAACAGCAGTGAACTTGCACCTTCTTGGAGCCCTGCAGTTGGCTGTACATGAGAATCCCCACCAGCCTGTGGTATGCCATGTCCAGGCTTCCTGGAGGGTCCGCAAGTCATGTGTGAAAATAGGGCAGGGCGGCACAGCGCAGGCAGATCTAGATGAGTCCATCTCATCCCTGTCATGGTGCTGGGAGGAGCAGAAGCAGAGGGTTCCCAAGGTGATAACTTGCTTCCCTATGGAGTCCTGTGGTGTTACTGACGTGCCCTGAAAGCAGGAGCTGGTGGGTGTTTGTGAGAGGTAGTGGGCAGACCTCAGCAGAGGCTTTGCTGGATCATGTTGTTAAGATGGTTTGGTTCTGTTTGGACACTGGGTAGGTGCCGGTGGTCTGCAGGGCATGGTTCTCACCTCATATCGGGAGAGACAGAGAGAAATAGAGGAAATGATCCCTTTCGTTATGGCTGTTGCTGGATTCATGTCACCTCCTGACTGCAGAGGGCTGTTCACATACAGATCCTGCAGCTCTCTGAGCCCTCCTGGTTGGTCACTGTGTCACCATGCATTTCTGCTTCTGCAGCAGGGTCACCCTTGTCCTCCACCCCAGGGCACAAGGAAGGGGCTGCTTCCTTCCCCTCTGCTGCTGCTGGGCTTGACACCTGCCAGCAGCAAAATCATCCCAGGGCCATGGCTCTTCCTGAACTGTAGCAGCCTTCACTTTGCTGCTCAAGCCCCAGCCTGTGCAGGAGGACACCTTCTTCAAGGCCCTTCAGGTCTTCCTGTGTGTTTTTTTTTTTTTTTTTTCTCCCCATCCCTTTTCTATAGCATTCTTTGAGCTCAGCTACTCTTGAATATAGGTGGGCTCCAGTGTAGCTGGATTGCTTCATACAGCAGTATACAGTTTCCTCATATGCTTATATAGCTGCGAGTATAGCCCGTACAGTGACAGAGCTGGGACTGCTGTATTTCTGTGCTCAGCATGGCTTTCTGTGGAGCACAGGATTTGCTTCCAGAAGTAAATACCTTTCCAGTGTTGTGTTTGCATGTTTGCTTTTTGTAGTTGTTAACTATTATTTCGTCTTGATCTTCTTGTGTTTTGGAATTGGTGCAGTGCAGCTAACAGTAAACAGTAGGACCCAAAAGCTTGTGGGCACAAACTTAATTGCTCTTGGGGTTTGCTACAGAATGAAGGATATTCATGGATTTATAGACTCATAAACTAAACCAGGAAATTTTATAGATACAGACATAAAGTACTGATTCCCTGAGAGCCTCAGGCTATCAGTACCTGCATCTTTGTAGGAAAAAAACGTAAGTTAGACTGCGTGCTAAGACAAAAAAGTGCAGTGCCTTACTACTTTCTTTTCCTTACAGCCTAGGGAACATCTGGATAATATATGGATTTGGGCTGCTAGAGGAATCTTAAGGGAACAGCTTGCATAACCGCTGGTAAAACTGGCACTTATGTAGCACAGGAGTTTGAGTTATTTCTAGCAAACTAGAGGCTGACCAATTAGGATAGATCCCCAAAAGCTGGAAACTCAAGTTCAAGCAGATATTAATACTTGTTCTCTTGAAACCAGGACATATTAGAGGTGATTTGTTTTCTCTTTCCTCATGCAGAAGTCTTCTGTTGCTTTTCTCTTGCAGGAAGACGAGGCTGTGTGAGCTCTATGCAAAGGTTCTGGGAGCCGAAGAAGCTTTACATGTAAGCACAAAATCTAAAGCATGGCATCTGTCAGACTTGTTGAGCTGGGGAAGGGCAGAGTGAAAGAAAATGCAGCAGCACCCTGGCACAACGCTGCGTAGCGTTTTGGAAAAGGTACCTGCTATGGGAGCACTTGCTGCCCTCTGTAGAGGAGTGGAGAGAAGGTTATGGCAAGTCTTGGGTTGTGTTTGGCAGTAAGGATAAGAATGAGCTTATGAAACAGTTAAAAGGAAGAAGTGTTCTTGTCCAGCTTTATGGGTGGCATTCCCAGTGCTTACCACCATACATCTCAACTGTTTTCAGATGTGATGGGCTTGTCTCTCCCTCTCAGTCTGTGTTGAGCATAACGTTTCTTCTCTTTTACTAGTTGCTAAGGTCCATTGCTGCATGGATTTGGGGTTTTTTTGCCTTTCCTTTGTCTTCTCTTCCCTGTAATGGTGAATAACTGATAGGATTTGTGTGATCTCATGCTTAGTTTGTGATCAATTGCTGTTCATCCTTTAAGGGCAATTTTACACGTGTTAAATGGTGTAGACACTGATCCCAAGATTACATCATTTTAAACGCAACGGTATTGTAAGCAGAACCATGCAAGTAGCATACTTTGCATTTTAACAGTATATATTTGTATCCAGTCTACATATTACAAGTAGTATACCTGTGCACACCAGAGGTTAATTTTGCTTTCCATGTCTCAAAGCATAAATCTGTGCTCAAAGCATAAATTTACATTGACAGATTAAGAGGATTGTGTTCTACAGTAGCCAGATTAGCTAGGGTTTTTTTAAAAACAGCTGTCAGTGTCTAAAATTAAGGTTTATTGTGTTGGATCCATGTTGCAATAAGAGACTTAAATGTGTCAGACATTGACATGCAACAAATCATAAGCTATTCTTCTCTACTTTCTTCTCAGTTCTTTTATTGGCTTCCTTGGAACTTTGTCCTTTCCTTGAGTGAATTAATCTCTGTTTTACAGCCAGTGCATTATGAAGAGAAGAACTGGTGTGAAGAGCAGTATTCTGGGGGCTGCTACACAGCCTACTTCCCACCAGGCATAATGACTCAGTATGGAAGGTACCATGTTTATTTATAGTGGGCTTCAGAGTAGTAAGATAAGACCAAGTTAATAAATGTCCTCAGAAAGGGTCATAAATCCTCTGTCACTGTTCGCTTTATACCTTTAAGATCACTGGGGAATATTTTAAACAGATACAACCTTCCACTTGTCTCAATTGGGTTTTATGATGGATGAGTACAGTATCATTAGAGGTCTTTATTCTCTTTTGTTATTCGGTGAATAAGCTGAGTGGGTTCTTGGAAGGGAGTTGGGAAGTTTCACAATCTGTTTACAAAACTGGCTTTGGGTATTTGAGATCGCTGTTACCATTTCCAGCACATCTTTAGCTGGTATTTTATAAATACTGGCAGAGAGTTAATTCTTGCTGACATTGACAGTAATGAATGATTTCTTTGGACTGTTCCTTTCTTTTTAGCAGTCAAGGCTTAATATAGTAATCAGTGTGTCATTGTATACAGTCCTCTGTGACATAAGTTTTCACAAGAAAATAAGATTTGCCAAATAGACTGAGGCTTACTGGTCAGATCAGTAGTTGGATTCAGATACATAGGTTTTAATGTGGTGGCATAGATCTACTTTTGAAGTAGAAATTTTCACCAAAAAAAAGAACTTAGAGCAATAAAGCAGTTGTAATGAAGAGCATATGGAGGTGTTAGCATTTAAGGTAACTTTAATAATAGTTATTGCAAATTCTGGCAAAAATGGAGTAAAATTTTTTTATTATTATTTGCTTGTTACTTTAGATATCGTAGGGATGTACCTCCAGAATGCTACACTGTACTAGTAATGTCTAGCATTGGTATTTATGACATGGGCTAAAATCTTGAGATAAATAAGTCTCATCTCAAACTCATTGTTCTTTACACCTACAAGCAGTGTAAACATTTAGGAAGTATGAACACTGATATGTTTACTGTAAGAAATTAAATGCAATGCAGACTCCCTCTTCAGCTCAGCTCACCCAAAGTTACTATTTTTAAGTGCCCACTGTTATTTAAAACATGTTTATTCTAATATGAACCCAAGGATTTCACTTGTCTTTACTGGTATGGCTGATGTGACTTACTGCTTGTCCCCCTCCAGGATTATTCGGCAGCCTGTTGGCAGGATCTATTTTGCTGGCACAGAGACAGCCACAGAGTGGAGCGGATACATGGAGGGGGCTGTACAGGCTGGTGAAAGAGCAGCCAGAGAGGTACAGACACAAGCCCAAAACAGGGGACACCATCAAATATCTGTAGAAGATGAAAGATCTTCTGGTTGGAAGTGAAATGGGAACTGAGTGGTGACAGCTTCAGGCATTCTGAAATTTTCATGCAAATCCCTGCAAAGGGGATAGACTTCAAAAAGGAGGAAGGTTTTGCACTTAGATTTGGAATGCTTAGGAATGGCTCTGGCTATTTCATCAAACTCTTCCCTATTTCCAGAAGTTAAATCCTTTCTTCTTTTACAGAAGTCACAAATTCTCACCTAGTCATTTTTCACCCAAATGGGCACTTTGTTAGAGATTGTACTGAGAAATCACAGCCGTTAGCTTCACTAAGAACATCTCAGTTCTGCAGCTCTGCACACCAAGCCAGTCTCTTCCTCGACTGTTTCCAACAATACCACTGACACAGTGATATACCATTGAGACAGCCTTGTATAAAGTCATTAAACATATTTTGCTTCTGAGAAAATGCCAATCCCTCAAGTGTTTTCAGGAACATTACAGTTTATGGAGCAGCAAAAGAAATTTCAGCTTTGTTTTATGAGGTGAAGCAAACCTTCTGGCTGAAGACTACAGTCATGGAACAGAAATTGGTCTGGAAGGGATCTGGAAAGTTTGTCTAGCCCATACCCTTGCCTCAGAAGACAGGGATCAACTGTCCCATTTCTGAAGGTTGTACCTAACCTGTTCCTGAAAGCTTCCAGAGATAGTGCTCTTGACCTCTCTAATGTAAGGGCATTGCAGCAGAACCTTCAGAGCTGCTTCTCAGCAGAGAAGCTGGCACATGAGCTTGACGGGTAAAAATTTTGATCTTTTCCTTTCCTCATTTACTTGTGAAAGGAAAATACGTTTAAAATCTAGTGCATGGGTGTTTCTCACCCTCATGTATTGAGAAGTTGACAGGATCCATGAATCTTGTCTGGAATAAAAGCCCATCATAAAAGATGGCAAATCTTAAATCTACAAGTGCCTGGAATAGGAAAAACATTAATATCACCACTTCCATTTTCTTTTACTCTATTTGCTTTCTTTCATGACTATCTTTTCAGGTAATCTTTGCTATCCTGCTGATCTCTTGATATCTTTGATACTTTGGTTATTTTTCCATTGTGTAGGTTTTCTTTTTAGTCTTGCCTCTGCTCTGGCTGAAAGTGGCCGTCTGTCATTGCTCACAGGGTTCTGTTTCTCTTCCTACATCCTGGTAAAATTTGCAAAACAAGCTACTCCTGGCTATATAGCTTGCACATGCAGTAGCTGGTTTATGCATTGCCCTGAGTCTATACTTACCTCTTAGTCATATTCATATTAACCTGTTCCCATGGGACTAGTCAAGCTCCAATATCTCACATGGACTAACTAAGCATAGAGAGGATTTTCTGTTACTGCTTCTATTTTCCACTAGGACGAGAGTCTTACAAAATACCAGGCCTCCCCAGGAATAAGTTGTACAGAGGTAGAGTTGTCTTTTAATATTTGAATACACAGCAATTTATGTGCTCAATTGTTATCTTCATCATGCCATTTTAAAACAAAAATTGAAGCCAGCTCTTTTTACCTTTCAGAGAACGACTAGTACTTACTAGAAATGTTATTTGTTTTCAGATACTGTTTGCTATGAGGAAAATCCCAGACAGTGAAATTTGGAAGCCAGAGCCTGAGTCAATAGTAAGTCTTCTAGTAGACTAAATGGATTTTTTTTTTTCCTGTGGTTTTGCTGATGAGATAAAATTTTCTTGGCTGTTTTTAAGTCCACTAAATCAAAGCCACCGTAAACTTTTCCTCAATCACTAAAACTGCCCTTCCATAAACAGGAACATGACAGAAGCTCAGAGGGCACCCATCTGAGAATCTGTAACGTGGGATCAGAGAGAACTGCAATTTTTAACTGGGCTGTGAATCCTTTCCATGTGTTTCCTCATCTTCCCTTTAACTAAGCAGAAAATTTTGATACACTGTACTTCTTGATAACATGAACTGCTCCAGCGTAGTTCTGTTTCTGCCGCAAGAATATCTCTATTTGCATCCTGCCTCTCACAGTGGGGATGTTATGTTGGTAATGCATGCTCTCCCCACAGGATGTTCCAGCTTTGCCCATCACTACAACCTTCTGGGAGAGGAACTTGCCATCTGTGCCAGGACTGCTAAAGCTGCTTGGATTTTCCACTTTCTTCACCTCTGTGGCCGCAGCTGGGTTATTTGCCTACAAAAAGGGACTTCTAGTTCGAAACTGAAAAAGGTGCCAACACAAAGCCTCACACTTCAGTGATTTTCTTTTTTCTTTTCTTTTTTTTTTCTTTTTGGAGGTTTCTTTGTCATGTATTTCCCTGACTTCAAAATCAGGACTGAGGAAGAGGAGAAAACAGTAGAAAGGAGAGTCTAGAGGAGAGGGATAAAGGAAAGGGATTCATATTGAAAAACAACCCCTTGAATTCAAGGCTACTTCTAGCAGTAATATTTTGGTTGTTGAATTTCTAGGATACCCTGCCAAGCATTGTCACACTGAGGTTTTTATCCAGATCTCAGAACAGAAGTGACAAAATACCTCTATGAAGCCCATTCTAATGAAATTTCCAGTTGTTTTTACACTTACATCTGAATGAGACCCTGAAGTCAAAGTCTTCACAGGCACTTCCATCTCTAGTTATAAAGAAAGGATTTCTGCCTTCCTCTGTGGTAGACTGAGAAAAGAAATCCATCACTTAAAGAATAATCTAGTTCATGCAGACTGCTGGACCGAGATGTCCAGAGCCCAGGCAGCACCTAAGTGACAAATCAGGCTAAATTTATCCATCTGAACTATGCAAGTGTGGCCATAGGTTGTTGGCATTTCCAGTGGCATATTTGTCCTACAGTGAGTTAAAGGACAATGTTTTCACTGCCTTTGGCAATGTGGCTGGGTTTCAGGCTCCCCAGCTGTGTTCACACTACCTGGAATGGCACAGCTCATGTGTCCCAGTTAAGTCCATCCCCATGCAGGATCAGATCTCCTCTGTCTAGAAAACTGGCAGGCTCCAGACTGTAGCAGGTGTGTAGAGCAGTATGGCAAATCAGGCTGTTGGACCTCAGTGTGAACAGGGCCTCAGTGTGAACAGGGAACCTTGTGCTGATGTACAGACAAAGCCTTTTGAACCTTTTTCACCCTGTCTGGCTCATTTTGCCTCCAGGGTCCTCTTTTAGCTCCCTAAGTTGCTGCAGGATAGCAAGACAACAAATTAACCTCTGCCTGCCCCAGGAGATCGTAAAGCCATCCATAAAAGAAACTCTAACGTTTGTGTTTTGTTTTTTTTTTTCTTATCTCCTTCCTTTCTTTCATCTACTTTAATTTATACTTTGAACACCTTGAGGCTCTCTTGACTGGTAAGGTGCAATGAATTTGAAAATGTAGCATTAGCATTAAAAGAAACACAGCAACAAAACCCAACTAAACCGCACCGCCCCCCCCTCCAACACTTGCTTCATGCTGAACACGGCTTGGCTGATTCAAAGCCTCAGTCTCTCCTAACAACCATGTTGATGGGATTAGCGCTTCCACTTCTGCCTGCTGTGCGGTGTTGTACTGACTGTGTGTTTTTGGTAACTAATAGAGGACCTAAATGATAGAGGGATCAAAGAGAACCATGGATTGGAGAGTCACGTGCAAGTGCTTCTTCCCTCTCTAGCTTGGTACCTTTCAAGCAATGTAAAAAAAGAGGAAAAAAACCAAACAAACAAAACAAAACAAGAAAAAACAGAACAAAACAAAACTAGCCTGACCGCTAAAGCCTTAGTGTCTACCTGACAACATGACTGTACCTTGTTCTAGGTGTTTCTGCTATTTTACGTCTGCACACAAAACAGGAAGACACAGGTATAACTGAGAACAGGATTTGGTACAAAAAGTTTGAGATGGCTGGAATTTTTCTGAGCATGTTTGCTGCACATCTCTCTTCAACCAGTGCCAATTTATATGTAAAAAAATTACATTGCAGTAAAAGCCATGGAGGGAAGTATAATGATATATTGACCAACTAGTGTGAGCAGATGGTAGAGGAACTGTATCACCAGTCTCAGGCAGACTTTTTGGGCTAGCATCTGATCTTGCTTGTGCGGAGTAGTGCTTCATTCTGCAAATAGTCCCGTGGAAATCCACTGAACTACTTATAAAGCTGTAATATTTGTAGGCAGTGCATCAGTTTCTGGCCCTTAGGTTTCATTCGTTTCAACTTGATGTGCCAGTTAAAAATCTTCTTGTAGCAGCAGCTTCGATTTTATCACAAATGAATATCCTCATAACAGTCTTTTTAAAATTACATAAAGATCTTTAAGTCAGAGAACAGTACAGCAGTGTACATATGGCTTTTCTCATTGTATCACGTAGAGCACTAATTGGCTGGGACTTTTGCCTACCACAGAGTGCTTCTATGTGGCTTTCTGTGTGATTTATTTACTAAATGAATTAGGAACTGAAAGCTGAATGGGAACTGCGAAAGTTTAGTGCTTTTGCAACTCAGACAGCTCTCAGGCCAGAAATAAACATGGAACCTAAATTTGGGAAGACATTTTTAAAGTGTTGGCCTAATATTTGTAAATGCTAGACGGTATATTTAATGTATACAGAACTGCTGCATTTGCAGATGATTTCTCTGCCAAAACTGTTTGGAATCGGAGTCCTGCTTCTGCCCTAGAAATACTCTGCAGGTCTCTAAAGGGAAGCAGATCCATGAGACTAATGAGGATAAATAGGATTTATTCACGTCCAAAATGTCTCTCTCTTCTTTGCTCCTGAATCTGGCAGAGGTTTTTCCCAGTCTAGCCAGAGAATGTTGGGTGCCACAGGGGCAGAAAAAACAAGTGAAAACAGAAGTTAGGTATAGTTAGAACTGAACTGAATCATAACTAAAGCTTTTAATGAGATCGAGCAATAAAAAAAAAAGTGTTTATAAACCTTTCTTATTCTTAGTTCCAAAGTGAAACAAAAATGGAAAAAAACCCCACAAAGCGTTTCTCATGTTATTCTGCCACAACTAAGAGTAGATGCAACTTGAAATCTCAGATTAAACTTGGATCCCCTGAGATTTCTAGCCAAATCTGATGGAGCTGGGAGGTTTGGATTGCAACATCTCTATTAGCACTTGAAAGTCTCTGTCTTCATCCTTCCAGACTGCCAAAGCATTAGGAATGCTCTCTTTGTCTTTACAGCCACATCTTGCTACAATTATGCTGTGGAGTTTATCATCACTATGGGACTAAAAAGAAGTATTTGCTGCTGTTTTCTCAACATCTTCCACATAAAAGGATACGTGACACTTTGTGTATGTGGATGCCAATGTGATGAGAAAAATGATAAACATAGGTAGAGAATCAATTTGCTTCCCCGTGGGTAGCGGGAACTGTTAGCACTGGCTTACACTTTTAAAATTCCTTCATGCCAGTCCTTGGAAGAGAGGAATGAATTCTGGTTTAGTGGGTAACCAGTTGTGCTATATTCTTAATTTTTTAACATGTTTGAGAAATCTGCTATCATGAAAGTTCCAGCAGTTTACCAGCTTCATAAAATGTATTATAGGAACAACCATGGAAATAATTGTATTTGTTTCTTAGGAACTGATTTGTGTTGTTATGCATATTTTGTAAAGCTCTTAAGAGTTTGCAAAAAAAAAGAGGCTTACTTGCTTGTACACTGTTCTGATAGCCACTGTATCTTGCAAAGGATGTCAGGTCGTGGCATGAAAATTGTGTTAACCAAAGTACTTGAAAGCAAATTGTATAACCTACTCAATAATAACGATCTGAGGCAGTACCTTGTCTTTCCTTTAACTAGTGCATTTTTTTTTCAATGCAGATCTTGATTCCAAATAGCACATCTGCTGTCAATACAACAAAGACTTTAATCACAATTAAGTATATGTTTGAGCATTGTCCATAACTGGAACTCAAGGCCTGGAGGAGAAGCTAGGGATTTCCTTTAAAATAATCTTCCTGTGTCCTTAGTGGGACTATTGTTTCACTGAGGTAGACTTTACAGAAGTGCAGAAATTTTAAGATTTTGGTTTTGAGACATGAAAGAAAAATATTTTTGAGGAAGAAGGAATTGTATGTCCTCCATAAGTACTTCGGTACAAAAGGGACCCTGGATTAAAAAACAACAGATCTGCCACTGCTGTTCGGGCAAGAAGCAAACCCACTTAAATCGCAGGTTACAAATGCTCACAGATAAACCCGGCCTGTGTTTTAAAAGGACTAAGATTCCATCTCCCATCTCCACCACCTTAAAACCACCTTGATCTTACCACTTGTTCTTCAATAGAGATAAAAATGAGATGGCCAAAGCAGTCTTGCTTTTGAAGTATCTCTACAGTCAAATCGTTTAGGCGTTGTGATAGACTGCTACTTATAGCGTGTCTCCTGTGGTCATGTACAGGTCAGTGTTCAGTGATGCCTGCCTCTGTGTTTTGGAAGAGTGACTTCACTTTGCAGGACTATATATGCTGTGTGTGTGATGAATTTGTGCCTTTTTTAGCTGTAGCATTTTCTCAAGTGCCTCTGTGGTGACTGTCTCCCTTGGTTTCCTTCTTAAGTTCCCTTTTCAATAGGCTCTGCAGATATTTTTATCTGGCAGCTGTGAACTTTTTTTAACCTTAATTAGAATCAATAAATATTGTCATGTCACATTTACTGTTTGAGGCTTTTCTTTGGTGGAAGCCCCTTTTGACTTGGTTGTGTTGGTGAGTATTACTTAGTAATACAACATTTTGCATTTCATATTGAAGCCAGTGAGGTATCTTTTGCCTTTTCTCAGTAAAGAAAGACTTAAATAAGATGGATTAAAAAACCCCAAACCCCCCCCACCCCCCCCAAGAAAACCCAAGCAAACCACATTTGGTAATAATTCTTCCTCACATATAGATGGCCAACTGTCTTACACTTAAGAATTAGTTTTTATTGCTGTAGGTGGATTTGGAATGTTGTCCCCATCATGAACATACCTCTCTCAGCACCTTGTTTACCAGAATGCCTATGGGCAGGGACATGTTTTATAGCTGCTCATAAGACTCAAGAACAGGTGCTATGCAGCTGTAACTGAGCATGGGAAGAAACAGACTTGTACCAAATACTGTGTGGTGTAAACATAAAAAACATGGAAGAAGAGAGACAAAAATTGCTGGCTTGATTTCATCTGGCAGTTCAGAGAGATAATGTAACCAAAGAACAAATTCAGCCTTGGGAAGGGACCTGTGTTTCACAAAAACGTAGTCTATGAACACTGGAAAAAGCGTAACCATCCATGTGAAAAACACATCAAAAGCATGCAGTGCTCTTTGTATAGGCTTAACTTTCAGTATTACTTACAAGTTATAAAGGAGCACAAATACTGTGAAAGCAAATATCCTCAACTAATCCTTTGCATGCTCTATAAAGCATCATCCGTCCCCTAAGAAATATATTGGAACCAGCAATGCATTTCACAGGCCCTCAAAGCAGCTCACAAATGG